AACCTGAAGGAAATGCCAATTTGTGGTACAAAATGCTGTGTTCAGTGATAATTCACAAAATTAATTTAAAAACTCTTTCATATTATAGAAATAGGGCTGTAAATTTTAAAGAGAGGCCACTAACTTTCCAAGTATCTCTATTTTCAGCCTCTATAATTTAAATCTGGCACAATATCCCAGCCACTGTGACCTTTTAAAAGGTAGACAAGGAAATGCCAATTTGTGGTACAAAATGCTGTGTTCAGTGATAATTCACAAAATTAATTTAAAAACTCTTTCATATTATAGAAATAGGGCTGTAAATTTTAAAGAGAGGCCACTAACTTTCCAAGTATCTCTATTTTCAGCCTCTATAATTTAAATCTGGCACAATATCCCAGCCACTGTGACCTTTTAAAAGGTAGACCTTGTTACCTCACTTGGGATTTTTGGAGGAACTCTTAAAACATTGCTCTTTTAGGCATTCAAGATGAAATTATTTAAGCCCCCTGGAGGGAACAGGGTACTGTTTGCACACCTGAATGGATTTTTACACTGCTCAGAGCCTATTATGAGCAGTAAGGGTAAGTATATATGTGAAATAGAACAAGGCAGATATTTTGGAGGTGTCTAGAGTGAAGGGGCAGTAACAAAATTATTAACCAGGCTGAATCCCTCACAGCAGTGTCTCATACATTAGTCCATCAAAGCATCTGACATACTTAGTGTCTCAAGGGCTTAAACTATTCCTCTGAGGTGAATGGAAGTGCTGTGTTGGATCACAGCCAGGTTGCTCAGCTTCTGTGATTGTGCCCTGACACATCATCAGTGAATTTTTACCTTATGCATGAAGGCCACGACTGCATCAGAATGGCACAGGTGTGGGGTGAAGGGAGGGAGAAATACTGGATGGAAGAACAGATTCACTAGAAAAGTACAATCTCTTCTACCAAGATACATAAGCTCAGGAGAGGCTACTGCTGAACTGCACACAGCAATGAAGGAGCATTCAGACCTTCCTCAACACAAGGAAGATGTAGACCTGCTGGATCAAGTCCAGAGGAAGCCACTAGGCTGATCAGAGAGCTGGAACACCTCTCCTATGAAGGCAATCTGAGAGAGCTGGGACTGTTCAGCCTGGAGAACAGTAGACTCTCAGGAGAACTTAGAGCCTCTTCCAGTGCCTAAAGGGGGAGTACAAGAAGGCTGCAGAGGGACTATTCATGAGAGCAGGTAGTGATAGAACAAGGGGGAATGGCCTTCAACTGCAGGAGGGCAGGGTTAAGTTAGATATTAGGAAAAAATTCCTCCCTGTGAGGGTGGTGAGACACTGGCACAGGTTGCCCAGAAAGCTGTGGCTGCTCCATCCCTGGAAGTGTCCCATACCCAGTTTAGATGAAGCTGGGAACAACCTGAGCTAGTGAAAAGAAGCCCCATAGTAGGAGGTTTGGAAAAATATGATCTTTAGGGACCCTTCCAATCCAAACTATTCTGGGATTCTATGATTCTTTCTAAAAAAACCCCTCAACTAAAGCCCATTAAAGAGCATTTTGAGTAGGTGTTTAAGGACCCAACCTCCAAGGAATAAATACAGTAAACAGGAGTATCCAGAGTTTATCATTGCTTGGGGTAGATCCATAAAATTGTTTCTGAAGAAAAAAAGTGGAAAAGATAGGTCAAGCGTCAAAAGATAGAACTCATCATCAATAGACAGAGACATGCTCACTCATGGCTGAGATTGCCTTGCACTGAGGACCCAAATACCTGTTAACGCATATAAGACTTCTTGGAAATAGAAATATATAGAAATATAGAAATTTTCAACTTTGGAGAAAACTGTGAAAAATCATTAAACTTCAGGATTGGCATTAATAATATTGAAATCATATATATCTTTCTTAAGACACAACACAACATTGAGTGCACAGTCTGGGGGACTCAGTGTGGCACCTACACCTTGTCCAGACCTTTGAACAAATCCAGCTCTCCTAACTTCTTTGCCTTTCACTGTGCCAGATCAGGAATGAATTGGCCCCTGTGCTTACAGATGAAGAGAACACATTGAGAACTTGGCTTAATTGAGCTACATCGACAGCACATGACAAATAAAAGCAGAGCTGTAATATGTAGAAATTATACTGTCAGAAGGAAACACAGCATTTGTGTTTAAGCATTTGTTTTCTAAAAGAGGAAAATGTGTTGAGAAAAGTTATCTTTAAAGAGAAGGAAACTAGCTGGGAAAACATGTCAATACCATAAGAACTCAGTCCTAGAGCAGCCAATCTCAAAGCAAATAAAACAAAATACTCTCTGAAATCAAACCTTCAGATTTACTGAATTTGAACTTTCTACCTCAAGAGTTATCTTGTAGAATATGTCTTTTTTCCTTTCAACTCTTATTCAAATCAATAGTTTTGCAGCCTTAGGTGTGCAACTGGTATTAAAATACAATAACAGAGTACTTTAAGCAGTAAACCAAATAAAGTGGCATTAGCTGTATTAATAGACATCCTCCCTCCTCTTACACCATGTCTTTGAAATAGAGCATCTGTTTCTAAAGGTGCCTGACATGTGTCTAAAGAATGATTTTTCCTGCCTTACTCATAGAATATCACTTAGCAAGGCAGAGGGAAGATTTCTGAGGTCATTAACATCTTTAAATAGTGAAAGGTTCAAACCCATGTCAAACCATTAGAAAATAAAAGAGATGTCTCTATGGGAAAATATAAAGTGCAACAAAAATGTCTAAGACTAGATTTGTCAAAAAAACCAGGAAAATGCTCACTTCACACCCATTTTATTTCTATGTTAAACTTCTCCAAAGTGGCAAGGGTACAACAGGATAATGCTCACTTCACACCTATTTTATTTCTATGCTAAACTTCTCCAAAGTGGCAAGGGTACAGAGTACCTTTTATTGCCACTGAATTTGTAAACATTTCAATTATAAACATTAATTTCCATAGAAATAGATACTAACATTCATTCGTGGCTAAGCAGACACATGAGATTTTAACACACTTGCCCAAATTACCAAACTAAGTCCAACAAGACATGTAATTATGGAAAATTTTCTTTAAAAAATTCTATCGAAAGAAATACAGAAATATTTCTTCAAGAGAAGAAATCTTCAGTTTTGGAAATTCAAGTAGCTAAGTCTCTGGCTGACATGAATTGCTACCAATATTGATAAATCCAATAAGTTCCTATTTCTAAATACACTGAGTTGTCCTTTTACATTGCTGCATTCCAGAGGGCTAAGAAATACAGCATTTTAAATATATTTTAAGTATTGGTTGTCAGGAAACAGCTTTCAGGGTATTAAAAGTCTGATCTAAATGGTAATTCTAAGGGAATTAATAGTTTGATCAAAGTCATTTAACTGTCACCTAGGTACTTCAAAGATTTGGATCAGGCTCTCTGTGATACTTTTTAGGGGATTCAAACACATTTGCCAAAGCATTTTACTTATGTAACTTTAGCTATTGCCACTGATTAGTGAAAAATAATCTTCCTGTTGGCAAAATTGTCATTGTTTCTAATTTCATTTTCCTTTTTTTATTTCTCTTCTCTCATGTTTTAATTTGGTATCCACTTTGCATTTATAAAGGAAACAAATATTCAAGTAAAACAGCAGCAATTTGTTTCAAAATAGTCTGTTCTTGAATTGCTAATATTAGGCCAGGTAAAAAATAATTTATAAAAGGTAAAAACACAAGACTTGTACAGCAATAGACTTTTCTTCTTCTACAATTACCTTAAAACCAGCATCTCTCATGCTTATGTCTCATCTTCTGGGAATATTCCTTAAAAATCTGCAGAGCCTCAGGAAACTTTCATAGCAAAATCCAAAGTAGCTGTTGTTAAGTAAAACTTTTGAAACTCTCTCATTCTCTACAAGTACCAGGGGCAAAAAGTAAAACTATCAGACTAATAATAAATGTAGGGGAAAGAAGGGAACAGTGTGAGAAGGGCAGGAAGCTTGGTAGATGTTTTGCCTGAAACCAGGAACATTGCTGTAGCACTGTAACTTTCCCCTGCAGGCAACAAATACCTTTGGTTTGGGGTTTTATTGGACTTTCCAACATTCTTCAGCAGAATTCAATTTGCAGGGAAAAAAGACAACTTTCCTTGCAAATTCCACCTGTAAGTTAAATTTAAAGCTTACAGGAGTAGAGCTTTAATTACAGAACTGCTAGCACTGTCTGGCCCACAGGGGAAGGGCTGAGACAGGAAAAAACATGTTGCTTTCATCCACAGTCCTGATCATCCAAAGTCATAAGCTAGAATGTAGGACTTCTCTATTTTCCCCCATAGGACCAAAAGGAGAAAGCTACCACTAGCAAATTTATTTTACAGGTTTTCACTCTACTAACCAACCTCTGAGTGACATCTCTGGACATAAAACTTCACTTATTTTTGCCTTGTGGTTGCACTTTGATTTGGAAACAATGCATACAAATTTGTCATGATAAAAAAGAAAAGAGCAACTGCATGAAAGTCTGTGAATCTGAGCTAAAAACATGTCTGTAGGAATCTTCTTTCCTTAAGGAACATTTTTATATTTAGAAACAAAATGATTACAATTATATACATAATTTTAAAGAACACAGATGGCAATTTCTTACCTCTTTCTTGGTAAATTCTGGTGGATGATCATTTTTGTCATCAATGAGAATAGTGGCAGTTGCTGTGCCAGTGAGTCCTACATCAAGACCTCCCATATCCTTAGCTTCTATAACCAGCTCATATTTGGGGCTTTCCATAGTCTGAAAGTCAACAGAAGAGGAAAGGTTAAAAAAACAAAACCAAAACCACACAGACAACATACTACTTTTAACTCTTATTAAAATAATACATTTTTTAAATCCCAGACTTTATTTATATTAACTATTATCCCAGGCTGCATCCAAAGGAGTGTGGTTAGCAGGACAAAAGAAGTGATTCTTCCCCTCTACTCTGCTCTGGTGAGACCCCACCTAGAATACCGTGCAATTCTGGTGTCCTCAGTATAAGAAGGACACGGAACTGTTGGAGCAAGTCCAGAGGAGGCCACAACACAAAGTTGAGGACTGGAGCACCTTCCCTATGAAGACAGGCTGAGGAAGCAAGAGAGCTGGAGAAGGACTCTTTGTTAGGAAATGCAATGGTAGGACAAGGGGTAAGGGGTTCAAACCAAAGGAAGGAGAGTCTAGGTTGGCTGTGAGAAAAAAGTCTTTTACTCTAAGAAGAGAGCTGGAGAAGGACTCTTTGTTAGGAAATGCAATGGTAGGACAAGGGGTAAGGGGTTCAAACCAAAGGAAGGAGAGTCTAGGTTGGCTGTGAGAAAAAAGTCTTTTACTCTAAGGGAAGGAAGGAGAGTCTAGGTTGGCTGCGAGAAAAAAGTCTTTTACTCTAAGGGTGGTGAGACACTGGCATAGGTTGCCCAGGGACGTGGTGGCTGCCCCAGCCCTGGCAGTGTTCAAGGCCAGACTGGATGAGCCTTGAGCAACCTGATCTGGTGAGGAGGTGTCCCTGCCCATGGCTGGGAGGGTTGGGACTAGATGTTCTGTAAGGTCCATTCCAGCCCTTAAATTCTATAATTCTATGGCCTGATAGAACATAGCCTAGAAACAGATCTGTTATCACAGTGCACAGCTCTCTCTGAGCTTCAGCTGCTACACTGGAAACCTCATTTGGAATACAGCATGAAGGGGATAGAGGTGAATATTGGTAAACAGTACATAATTTATCCTGTTATTTGAGAAGATTAGGGAAGAGCTAAGAAATTAAAATATACTTGCTCTTTAAGAGTAAGCTCTGGCTTCATTGCACCAATATTTAGCAGCTTGCTTCATCAGTGTTATGATAGGTATGTAATTAAATACTAATGTCACAATCTACATATAAATTCACTTTATTAAATCCCGTTCATTCTGTGTATTAGCATTGAGACTGCTAATCCAGGTTTGCTTCACTGTACGAAACAAAAAAATCAGTTTCTAAAGTGGGCAGTCAATTTCAGTTGCTGCTCAAAGCAAATGTGTAGAGTAAAATTAATGACTTACATTGATGATATTCAATTCTGAAGACACGGTTCTTTATCTGGCTGCCTACCTATTGCAGAACCAGACAGCACAGGTCCCTACCCCAACCATCCTTGATTTCCTCTCCCAAAAACCAGCCAAAACTTGGAAAAAAGACATTTGTGGCCACCATTCTGCAATGGGAATCTGACAGCATTTAGAATTCATCTCTCACATCAGGGATGAAAGCACATCTGTTTGCAAACTGGACCATGGGTCAGTAATAGCTCCATGACAGGGAGCTATTATCAGCATCAGAACCTGCTCCCATGGAACTCATTGAGAATTTTGACATGGATTTCACTGGAGACAAGACCAGGCATCTCATTAAAAGGAATATTTTCCCCATCTGTATGGTTGCCTTATATGGAACCATCTGCCCAAAGACCATGTGTGCTGCATCATCAACAGAGGACACAGATGGGAAAGTGCTGCAGTCACCTTTAAAACTATGTGGTAAGAACATCACATGTGCTTAGAAATGTTTATTCAAACCTCCCTTGAAAAACAAGTCTGGATCCTAGGGGCAAATAGACATAATGATGCCCAAAAAGGTGGCACTGCTGCTTTTGAACCTCAGAGCAGCTCTAACAGCTAACTGTGTTTACAAGCACCCTGGATGCCCATCTTTGACATCACTCATCCTGTGTCATTTAGCTACCACTTTTCCAGAGAATTAACATGCAGGGAGGCAGCTTAGCACAGCAACCTCCCAGGTCACACAACCTTCTCTGTAGCCAAGTGATATGAAAATATTTCTTAAATAGTGCATTTTGCATTATGTGTTTTCCTGAGCACCTCACACCATCTATTTTTGGAACATGTTTAAGAAAGACATCCCAACTCCTTGGTACTTAGATTTTGAAGCATTTTTAGGCCATGAGAGAAGTAACCACAACAATTGCTCATCAGATCAGCTATTATGAAGCAATATATCTGCATATAAAATCCACAAGTCAAGCCAGAACACATATTTTGTTCTAAAAACATATGGGCTACTAGAAAAATCAGATGCCACTGTCACACAAGGGATCCTAAGAAATGTATTTCCTTAAGTCTTACAACATTATTCCATGAAAATCATCTCGAAAGACAGCAAACCAACAACAGGATTTTGATTTATATCATCATAAAAATATAGGCAAAGAAATATTACTGACATGTCTCCAACACAAATTCACATTATAGACTGGAACAAAATTTACAGTTTTCATATATTTATTTTCTAAAATGCAGCCAGTGTATTAAAACCTGAATGGAACTTCTCTGCCCTCCCCTAGCTGCAACTTTCTCATTATTTTGATTAGGAAGTTGTTATTATTGTATGGACAACTCGCAAAGCCATTTATCACTTCATGTTTATAAGCCTCTTTGCTCAGAAAAAGACCCATTTTTAGTCACAAATTGGCCTTTTTCCCTTTGCAAACTGTCCCATTTTCTATTGAAAGCAAGCCCATTTATGCTGGAAATTGCATCTACTGCAGCAGAAATGTCTGTGACAGGAGTCCAATGTTTAAGCTCGCAACAAAATGTGAAAAACATTGAATTTTGAGTAGTATTTCATATCATTATGAATACTTCACACTTCCTTGCTATGCAGCACTTCCTACATCTAGTTCTGTCAGCAAATATTTGCTTTGTTAGAGAAAGCAACTCCTAACAGATCCAAACCCGAGGCATGTTCCCATCAGATACTCTCTTTACACTAGGAGATTGCATGTAAAGGACTTTTTAGCAATGCTCATATTTCTAGTCCAACTAATTCAGGCACTAGGAGCAATTATTTGGATCTGTGTGATTGACCACACCACTGGTAAATCCTGGGAAATGGGAGTGTGAATCCGTGGGCAGAGCATGGACCCCTGTGCTCCCACTAACCCCATTCCTCAGCTGGTGCTGCTGCAGAGGGTCCATGCTGGGGCATCCTCCAGGGTTGGGGCTGCAGAACAAGCTCTCATGGCAACTCCTCACCATTTCCCTTTTCACAGGGCTCATGTCTTTGATCCCAGTGTGGTTTCTTCCTCCATTTGATCCCATCTTGTGAGGAACAAGTGCCCCTGGAGGAGGCAGTGAAGGAGAACAGCAGTCTTCCCTCACCTTCTCCATCCCTGCTGTACTGTGCAGGTGAGTGATAAATGCAGCACCCACAACTGGCAGCCTCTGGGGACCCCACAGTGGCTCAGACTGTTGTCTCACCCTGTCACTAAACCCAGACCCACTGCTAAGTGGTCCAAGCCCTGAAGAACACTCTTGCAAAAACAATCCAATTAATACCATTTGGATAGTGAGATATTAGCAATAGAAATATGCCCCAACTATCAACAAAGGGGATCTACAGCTAAGAAGGATAATAGATTACTTTAATAAATGAACATTAAGTCACCATTTGTGTGGCTTATTATTTATCAGCTGTGACTTTGTGGAGTGTAACACCATTGAGAGAGTTTGTATAATTACAGCAAGAGAACCATTCCTTTCTCCATAAATTTTCACTTCAGTCATTCAGCCACGGCAGGGGTGACACTGCCAAATTGTGTGGTTTGCCAAGGAGGTGAGCTGTGTCTTGAGTGCTTTTCTTCAATGGTCCACCCACAGCCATTCCCACCAGTGTTAACATTCTGCTCAGATTTCACTCCCCTGCTGCCCTGACATAGCTGCTTCAGCACCAGCAATGAAGGAGAGGCCAGAAAAGGCACTTTTTCATATTTCAGTTTCCTGACAAAGCCAGCAGGATCTAATCACAACAGAGGGAAATAAAGAGCTCAGTGCAGATACCAGAGGTGGAACAAACCAAGGGAGTACTCTTAGGCAATCCTGAATGGAAACCAATAATGATGGTTTTCTGCTGAGTTTTAATCTTCCAATATTTCCTACAGACACAATAAAAAACTATCAGTGACTGAAGAGAAGCAAACCCTGGCTAGTATGTCACACCACAAGCTTTCATTTAGTGCTTCAGTCCTCATCCAAAACAACATAGGGAGAGCAGAAATTCCCAAATTCACAAAATGTGTTCAGGTACTAAGATCAAAACAAACAGTGTTGGGAAGCAAATAACATACAGAATATTCAAAACCCTTACAAGGATCTTAGGTATTCTTTCAGGCTATCTTAATGCTAATTACCAAGAGAGCGTTTGTTTACTATTTCATGGATAATAGTATTTCTGTAACGATGCAACAATGCCTCAACACTTCTGTTCATAATTCTGTTTAAAAACTATGTATTCATGCATCATACTGCATCAGTGCTGTGCTACCATATCATATTTGCTACTAATGAGTGTATAATATAATGCTAAGCAGAAAGAAAAATTCTTAGGATTGAAATAATTTCAGTTTGTGCTAAATAAATGCTTCTGTTCATTTAAGATGATAATTGCATATAATGCATACTGAATATGTCCTATTAAGACATAATCAATGTTCTTGTTGAGTAACAATATCAACACTGAATCTAGCATTATCCCAGAGTATGCTTGTCAGGATTTTGACAAATATAGAATTAAAAAATGAAGCAATGTGACTATTAACAGCTCCAACAGACATAACGCTTTGATAATTATAATATCAGCATTTATTTGAAATGCCAATTGCTGCTGTGCAGAAAGGGAAATATACACAGAGGCCTTGCATTTAGTGCTTGAATTACAGTTTGATGAATACAAAAACCCAAACAATTTTGTAATGCAAATCCTCTTTAGC